CCTTGATCCTTTTTTCAGGAATTTTTGATGGAAAGAAAGTTCAAAAGAACAGAATTATTTGAAACAGAATTGTAATTTAATGCATCCTTGCTGAATAAAAGTATTCATTTCTTTAATAGACAAATCTTAATGATCCCAGACTTTTAAACAGTATTGTAAATGCAATGTGATTCGATACAATTGATAATCTAATCGAATAATGACAAATCAAATAACGGAATTTCAGTCTGAGTGATACGTTTGAATTACACTATATACTTATATGCATTATACACAAGCCATTTTGTAATTAAAAGGATGTCATAATAGCAATAAACTATGAATTCAGATTAAATGATCCACTCAAAAGATGTTTGAATTGTACAGGTGCATCTCAATAAATTAGAATGTCGTGGAAAAGTTCATTTATTTCAGTAATTCAACTCAAATTGTGTTGAGCTGCACCTGTACATCTAATTCATCGAATGACTAAACAATAACTCCATGAATTACGATAATGATTAAATTAAATAATAAAACACCAACAAAACATGTCACTGAGACTCATTTTGACTTCTTGTAAAAGATTTTTTTAAATTGTTACCGTACAAATTTAAATTAATTACTATTTCCACAAATCCTCCGTTAACAAATCACACTAAAACTTGTAATATCCAACATGAAATTAATTCATAGATCACTATTATCCAATAAAAAAAAAAATGTAATAACTTACAACTGTTCAGCTGGAATTAATCTAATACATTTTTATGTTCACATGACAAATCAAAATTAGCTAAATGAGCATAACCACATAACCACTGAATAAATGTGCTGAGATGCGATTTAGTGACATCTATAGTCATTGAAAAAAAATTAAGGTAGTGTGTGAGAAAGGCATCTTACCCCATCTTATTTGCATGCAAATTGTCTTTACTTGATATTTGTGTGCTTGATCTAAATTAGATTGCAGCTAAATTGTGTTGTCACACAATGTTATTACATTTATATTTTCCCTCCCAAAACAAGTTTCTTGTGTGTACCAGGTGCCGTCAGCAAGTGTGACAGTGGAGGGAGGGTGTGCCCTGAACCGGGTCAGATGGGCATCAGGGGGCAGAGAGGTGGCCGTGGGTGATTCAGAGGGTTGTGTTTGGATCTATGATGTGGGAGAGGTAATAACACCTACATTATGAGTACATGAACACGTGTATCATTCTCTAATATTCGGATGAATTATAAATATTTGCAATCATAGTCAAATACTCAGACAGATGAAACACTGTGCAAATTTCAAGTCACTAATTGTGTTCTATCGTTAAGATGTGATGCAGAAGTTGGTTGTATCTCTATTTTAGCAGTTGGCCGTGCCACATATAGACGACTGGAGCAAATTTGCCCGTACACTCATGGAGATTCGTGCAAACCGAGGAGATGGAGATGGAGAGGAAGAAGGTGCTTTGGAGCTGCCTGCCTGAGCTACACACGCAGACACATTTACATTCAGTGAGATACACGTAAAGATACGCAGAAACAGATGCTTGATATAAAGTGAGTGAATCACACATACGCGCTGCTGTGATCACAGGTCTTTTTTCTTTTGCCTACAAAAGTCTATTTATAGCATGGGTGTTAATTAGCAATAACTCTTCTTCCAATGCTAATAGTTATTTCCAGAACACACACAGGTGAATGTGCTTGATCTAACGTATATCTAGGGCGTGCAGTGACTATATAGGAGTGAGCCAATGTTATCACACTGTATCAAAATAGCTGTGCCAGATAATGTCAACTTATTTTACGTATGTTAAAGTACAAGGTCATACTGAGATACATGGAGAATATGTATTGACCATTATGTAAAAATGTATTACAGCAAAACTTATGAATGTGACTTTATTTTTCCTTTTTTACCTTTTATGCTGTATGTGTGAATAATGTAATACCAATTGCAGCATAAAACATCTGTAAAGTGTGAACGTACAATAAAGGTCATTGTGTCTCAAATCGTGTTTTAATCTTAATTTAAGCAGTTATTTGTCCAAATTGTGGGGTGACTTTATTTTTCCTTTTTTGATAAAAAGTTTGAATATCAATGTCATATTACTCCATGATGTTTTCGTGCGATTAAACCTTTTATCTTTAATCACAATGACAAGATTCCTTGTTATCCGGGGTTTTTTCCCCCTCCATTATCAGCAACTTTCATGGACGCACACGGCCTCACGTAGAAGGCGGGATTCTGTTACCATGACAATTACGTCAATATTAGTGTCGGGTAACTAAAGGTCAAACTAAAGACAAGCCAGAGACGGAAGGAAACAGGCTCGGAATGGCGGATACTAAAGGGTTTTTTTTTTGCAGCAAAAGCCGGAGGAAATCACATGAATAAACTGTGGTTTAATCGCGTTATCGCTTGAACGGCGGTGCTTTGTCTAAATTGAACAGGATACCCATATGTTATGAGGTACTGGTGCGGCGGGAAGGACAGTCCATGCTAGTTTTGTCTGTAAATTGGAGCAAAGCTGTAGAGCATAGCTACCGTTAGTTAGCCGTGCTGTGTTGTTCCGTTTAGAAGCAGAAAGACTTTTGCTAACTCTCAGTGCTGTATTAGACACAAACCAAGCGCCTGGATGGCTCTAGGTCGCTTTTGTGAGGGTAAAATGCAGTGCAGCTATGGCTTGACTGCTTGCTTCCTCTTCACCTAACTTGGTAGCTGGTAGCAACACAGGCTTACTTGGTGTAAGTTCTTCTCATGATTACAACTCTGTTCGTGCGGTAGATTATGTTCGAGACTGTCTCAAAATTGACCGATTTTCTTGTTCCCAAGCAGAGAAACAAGGTTGACCCAATGTCAGTCTACAAATACGAGTGTTTTTATTATTGTTGTTGTTTTGTTTCGCTCAAACTCGGGTCGCGTACGGCTGTTATTTATGGTGATGCGCATATGTAGCAACCGCACTTCTAGTCGTTGTTTAAAATAAATAACTTAATGTCTAAGATGAAAATTTCACCTAAATCGACGCACACATATTTGCGATTGTTTGCATTAAATGTCTGTGATTAGACCATGACACTGTTCAAGTCTGCAAGGTCTTCATCCTCGTCGCGGTCCCTTTGTCATTGACGTGAAGGAGAGAGGACCTTTAACTTTCAACTCGGCTTTTGCTGTATTTTCCCTACTCGTGTGGACTGTAGGGGGCAGCAAACTCCCCTCAAAACTTTCCCTGGGATTTGTTGGCTTCATATAAGAATTCAGGTCAATTATATTTATTTTGTTTTTAGCTTGTCTGTTTACATGCTGGTTGTTCATGCCTGTAAACATCCCCGACTGGAAGCTGTGCTATACGTAAAACAAGCTTTCAGTTGGATGTTTGCTGCCATCGTCCAGTTCGTTCGTCTTGATATGTGTGCGTTTAATTAAACAGTACTGTGTCCTAAATGTTGTATAACAACTTAATTATAACTTAATAACAACGATGTGTACATGTTAACTCGTTTGCACGTGTGCCATCTGGATCTATTGAAATCTATAGTTTTCTGTGGTGAACTTGCTAATATTCCAGTGTAGTCGTTGTAAACATCCTACACTCAGCTGTAATCTGCAAATGGGGCTGGGGGAGGGTGTTTGCTGTGACTGACTGGAGCTCCTCTGTCATGTAGGAACACTTTACTTGATTGTGGGAAAAAAACATAGGAAAAAACATGAATGCTGAAAGGAGAAAAAGGTTGAGGCTGAATAAGTCAAATTTTTACTTTGTTAATCTGCATTTATTATCTGTTTTTACTTCGTTGTGAATATCATTTACCCAAATAAACCCGTTTTAATTTTATTAATGTTTATTGTTATTATTAATTATTATTGATTTGACTGATGCTCTTGTGTCGAGTTGCTATACTAACTCATAATGGCATTCAAGTGGCCTTTACACGTTGGCTTATAAGTGGCCTCTCTCACTTTGATAAGGGTTTAAACATTATGTTCACTTTAAAAGAAAATGTCTGAATGTCGCATTACTGATTACAAGAACACAGCGAGTTTAACTTTTCAGATCATCGGGCAATTTGAAATGAACTCCAGGCCGCAGGTGGCGCGCGCTTCTACACAAAAGTTTTTGTTTTTTTTTTGCTCGAAGACGAAGATCCATCCGCCATATTTGTTATCGCAGATTCGACAGAAACCTCTGCAGAAGTAATTTAAGTATAATGGATGCATTTAAACTGCGCTCTGGTAATACAAACACGGGTTAAATCGTTTTCGATGCGTTTTTACCTATTCTTAATTTAAAAAGAATGGATCCAGTGCAAGCAGGTAAGCAAGAACATGATTTTGAGGGTAACTGCGCTCCGAGGAAACGGCTAGCTCCGACGATTCGATAAGAGGCAAATAAATTAGGTAAAACTAGTGGCTTGCACCAGCAAAAGTAACTTTTGCCAGAGGATGCTTTATACAGAAATTCAGTTTTATGTCCGCTGTTTACAGTTCTTTGTTGAAATAATACCCTTTCCAACTCTTTGGGCATAAACGTCATCTTATTTAATTAAAACTAGTTCCAGTGCTTAAGAGAAAATCACGAAACTGGTCTCGAGTTTACAAAAATGAGATGGCAGGGAATATTAATTGGTTTCCTTTTGGGGAAAAAAACGGGGCTTTAACAATATATTAAACGTTATATAACAATCAGAAAAATCAGTCTTGGTATGCAGTTTTGTAACGGGTTTATCAAATGGATTGTTGCATGACATTTATTGCATCTTGTTAAAGATCCCTATCCCAGATAAAGTAACAATATTCTAATAACCTGAAACTAAACTACAACTACTAATCATAATCATAATATCAATGTTAATAAATATAACCCTGATTTGAACGTGTATAAAATGAACATATTTTAGACATTCTCATTTTGAAAGGGCTTTCTGGTGCCTGTGAATAATTACTTCAGTTAATTATGTGAGGGAAGGTTTTTTTAAACTCATAATTTTAAACAAAATGATCTAGATTTGAGGTTTATGATGAAGACAAATAATAAATGGAATCAAATATGGTTAGATATTACATATCATTAGAGCCTTATATAATTTACCTATAACAACCTGAGTAGTAGTATGTATGCTCCTTTTTCAAGGATACATGTTAAATCCTCCTACTTGGGGAACTAAAAGCCACATTTTGTTTGTACGAGAGACTTTGTAACTCACATGGGCACATTTCTGATACTGTTTTACAAATAATAAACCAAATAAAGACTTGCTGTTTTTATATTCACAGACGGTTCATCAGTCTTCATGTGCAAAATATGCAACTTGTTCTCTCCCAGTAAACCATTGCTGCTGTCTCATGTTACTGAGACTCACTCCAATGAAGGAGGGGATCCTGACACTTTTATTATAGCACTTAAGCCTTTAACAACTCAGGAGCCACAGAGTTCAGGTAAGCGGCTTTGAACCCAGAAATCAACCTGTATTGGGTTTTATTAAGATCCAAACACTGAAAATAAGGTAATTAGAGACAGGCAATTGCAATGTCGAGCTGATTTAAGCTTAAACATCCAATTTAAGCTGATTTAAGCTTAAATTTCATAATTTGATGAAAGCTGTATTATCTTATGTTAAAAGAAGGTTATTTTAAAAACATTGGAAAAGAAGAATGTCTTTCGTTTATCTTGCAGAAGTTGTTGTGAAAAGAAAGCGTGGAAGACCAAAAGGCTCTACTAAGAAAGTCCAACCAGAAACGGTACAGAAAATAACACCCAATCAGCAGGAGAAAGAGTCCACTGCAATACAACCGGTGGCAGTAGCCGAAGAGCCATGTGAGGATGGCAGTGATCTGGAGTGCAAGAAATGCAATCGCGTATTCAGCAACAGGCGACAAATCTCCAAACACATTTGCTTTGTAGGACTGAAAGAGGCTGCTGATGAAGAAGAGTATGGTACAAATTCATGCCGGTTAATGTTGTAGCTCTTTCTACTTTCTGAACTGCCACACGTTTCACCTGTCAACTTTATTGCCCAGGTAATAATACTGATGCAAATACAATCAGTGATGGAGAAGAGGAGAAAGAGAGGACACCAAAGAAAGCTCGAGCGATGCGGACAGATAAACTGTCCAGTGCAAAGGACCCTGAATCAGCAAGCGGCAACAAAAACCCTATTATTAGTGTGGTCCTTACCAGTCACGAGGCCATGCCTGGTGAGATGTATATGTGATGTCAGGTGCTCTAATAGTTGAGGGAAACATTTCAACTAACTGTAAGTTGTGCTTTATTGCAGGTGCCTCTAAGATAGTTCCTATTGAAGCAGCTCCAGCTGAACCATCCACCCAGACGGTTGCAGATGCAGGTTCCCAGGAGGCAGCAATGAAAAGGGGATACCAGGAATATGCCATTCAGCAAGCTGCTTATGAAGCACCCCTCAAATCAAACAGGTGGCTATTTCATGGTTTTTCACATTTAAAATCTTAACTTTAGATTTACAAATCTAGTAAAATTGTTGAAGCACCAAAGGATAGAATATTAAAATAGTATTGTCATTGTATTACTTTAGAAGCAATTACACTTCAGAGGGGGAAAAAAAGAAAAATTAAATAGAAGCAATTTGGAAATATCAGGGAATTTTAAAATTGTGATTCCCAGACCAAGAGAAGTTAACCAAATCTTTCCTATAGTATATATAGATTTTTCTATAGTAAATATTGGTTAGAAATGGCTTATTTTATTTATATTAATTTATTTATTTAATCTACTGCTAACATTTTTTTTAATCACTAACCAAAATAGTTATGAAAATAGTTAATGAAAGTAAGAATGAAAGTAATGAAAATGAAAAATCATTGTAATGAAGTAATGAAAGTAATGAAAAAATTATGGAAATTCATTTGGTTAAAATATGTGGGACCCCGACTAAAGCATTTTTGACATATAAAAGTTGTTGCATTTGTACTGAACTTGTGAAATTATTTGGTATATTGATATTAAAAATCATATCTCTCGACGCAGGTTAGGACAGACGCAGCTTAAAATCTTCACATGTGAATACTGCAATAAAGTCTTCAAGTTCAAACATTCACTGCAGGCTCACTTAAGAATCCACACCAATGAGAAACCATTCAAGTGCCCGCAGTGTGACTACGCCAGCGCTATAAAGGCCAATCTTAGTGTTCATATACGGAAACACACCGGCGAGAAATTCAGCTGTGAGCTGTGCTCATTTAATTGCCTCAGTAAAGGACACCTCAAAGTGCACGTGGAGCGAGTGCACAAAAAGATCAAGCAGCACTGCCGATTCTGCAAGAAGAAATACTCTGACGTGAAGAACCTTCTTAAACACATCCGCGAGACTCACGACATGAACGACAAGAAAGTACAGGACTCCTACAATGAGTACAGCCTCCAGACCAGGGAGGGCAAGAGACAGCTTCTGTACAACTGTCAAATATGCGACCGCAAGTTCAAGAACGAGCTTGAGCGCGACCGTCACATGATGGTTCATGGCAACAAGAGACCCTTCGGCTGCGAGCTATGCGATCACGGCTCAACCAAATTCCAAGCCTTGCAAGCCCACATCCGAAAGCATCCCTTCATCTACGTGTGTGCCATTTGCCAGGAAAAATTTGTCAGCTCTGTGCGACTTAAGTCGCATCTCGGAGAGTTCCACCCTGAAACGGATGAACCCTCTGCTTTTGCAGACTCCATCAATTCCAGCTTTTGCTTGCTCAAACCAGGTGATGACATTCAGAAGGACATGTTGAATCAGGATGAGCTTAAGATCACAGAAGAGCTGTCGCAGCTCAATGCCCAGGAGCTGTTAACCACAGAAGTGACTTGCATGGCTCAAGAGGACCTTCAAACTCAATGCTCTGATAGTTTAGTGGTGGAGTCAGACCTTCTTGTACAGAACTCACAGGATGGAAATCCTGTTTCAGACAGTATAAATAAAACAGACACGTCTGCTGAAGCACAAACACAAGAGATGGTCTGTGAAGATGTAATAAATTCCCAAAGACTTCAAGATGATCCACTTAAAATGGAGTGCTGTATGACAGAAGATCAGAATCCTGCTCAAGAAACTGCACCTCTGACGCCTGAAAAAGCACAAACGCACTCAGAGCAGCTAGTATCAAAGGATACATTTCCTCAAACCGAGGAAGAGGCGATTGTGCCACAAACTAATGCCGATGAGGACTTACTCGGTTCAGAGCAAGAAGAAATATCTTCTTTCAAGCAGATTGTAGAGCAGATGCAAAAACGACAGCTTAACATGGACGTTTTTGAACGGATCCGGAAAGTATATGGAGACCTTGAATGTGAATACTGCGGTATGAATATCTAATACAGGGGTGCCCAGTCCTGTTCCTAGAGATCCTACTATCTTGCAAAGTTTAGTTCTGATCAAACCCTGATCAAACGACTGGACCAGCTAATTAAGATCTTCAGGAACCTGTTGATAATTACAGACGGGTGTGTTGTGCAGGGTTGGAAATGAACTCCGCAGGTAGGTAGATCTCCAGGACCAGGATTGGGCATCCCTGATCTATTATCTATGAATATCCCGCTTTTTTAAATAACATCTCCAACCCTAGTCTCCCTATAACTCTTTGTAATGTTCCCTCAACAGGTAAGCTTTTCTGGTATCAGGTGCACTACAATACGCATGTGCGAACGCACACGAAAGAGCACCTCCATTACTGTTCTCAGTGCAATTATTCCTCCATCACTAAAAACTGCCTGAAGCGGCATGTCATCCAGAGACATTCTGACATCCTGCTGAAGTGTCCCTCTGAAGGATGTCAGTACTGTACACCTGACAAATACAAACTTCAGGCTCATCTCAAAACCCATTCGGACATAGTGAGTGTTGGGAGTCTGCTTATTCTTGAGATATTTGGTGAAATTGCTTCTTCATCAGATCTTATTTCTTTCTCGTCTTTAGGTCAAAAAAAGTTTTATATGCCCAGTATGTCAAGAGTCTGTTCCCGAGGACAAAGTTAGAGCTCATATCAAAAGCAACCATCCGGGTAAGAACAAATAATCCTCTGTGAAATGTCCCACAAGAGCTCTAAAGTAACGAATGTGCTGTTGCTGTATAGATGTGTCGCTGAACTACATCTCGGAAACGTTGGGAATACGTGTACATGTGAAAGGAGTGATCGGGAAACGAGCTTCCAAATGCCCGTACTGTGATTGTTTCTTCACAAGGAATGGGGCAGATCTTCAGCAGCACATATGGGCTCATGAAGGCGGGTTTTATGTCTTTTTCTTACCGTGTTGTCAAACGTATGGACTTAAATGAACTGCTTTAGTGTACTGATTTTGTTCTGTTCATGTCTCCAGGACTGAAACCGTACAAATGTTCACAATGTGATTATGCCTCAAGAAGTAAAAGCAACCTCAAAGCTCACATGAATAGACACAGTACTGAGAAAGCACATCTTTGTGACCTCTGTGGAAAAAAGTTCAAGTCTAAATGCACTCTGAAAAGTCATAAGCTCATGCACACAGCAGATGGTGAGTCTCTTGCTTTGTATTTAAGACTGCATACTGTGTTATTGGAACTCGTGTACCTAAACCAACAAGGGTTCCGTAATCTGACGTATTTCAAAAGTCAGAAAGAGCTCTATTGCCAAGTACGTTTACACACACAAGGAATTTGTTTTGGCGACAGGAGCTTCCAGTGCAGAAGAAAGTACAGACATGTGTATGTGCAGACATACTTAGGAATTACACAGTTAGATGACATATAACACTAATATTAGAAAAACAGAAAATTAAATAATGCAATATAAAACAGAAGTAGAAATATAGAGAAAAAATTAATTTATTCCTGTAATAGCAAATCAGACTCCAGTCTTCAGTGTCACATGATCCTTCTGAAATCATATGCTAATATGCTGATTTGGTGCTGATTTTATATTGTTATCAGTGTTATATTGTTACCACAGTTGCGGTGCTTAATATTTTTGTAGAAACTATGATACATTTTTCAGGATAATTTGATGAATAGAAAGTTAAAAAGAACAGCATTTATTTGAAATCTTTTCTAACGTGGATGTTTTTTGACCACATCCTTGCTGAATAAAAGTATTAATTTCTTTTTTAAAAAGTCTTACTGATCCTAAACATTTGAACGTGTGTGTGTATATCAATTATTTTTATGTTTTCCTGCACCACAGTAATATAAATTTATTATAATATATTTATTATAAAAATGTATACAAATAAATTTGACTTTTTTTCTCTTATAGTCTAGTTTCAGTACAAAATATGTATGTAATTTAATACAAAGTAAACATTTTCCATATAATAATAATTTATATAGTAATAATTTCTATATAGTAATAATTCTTTTTTTTTTTTTTACCATTTTGAAAACGTGCATTGGTGCATCGAGCACAATGACAACAGGAAACTGTATTAAAGTAAATATGAATTTTTGAGTCAATTTTGACTTCATGACTTTAATGTTGCTTAATTTTAGTTAAATTTACTTTAATTAAATTGTACTTAAACATCAGTGGTTTTGATTATTTCTGTGATTATTTTCTTAATACACAGCCAATCAAAAATGTAATTTCTTTTTAAATATGTTGTAGGAAAGCAGTTCAGATGTACTGAGTGTGACTTCACTGCTGCACTGAGACCGCATCTCCTTCGTCACATGGAGCAACATGCTTCTTTCAAAGTAACACAACAAAAGACTTCTATTTTAGTTTTGTCTTGTCATGTGTCCTAAAACCACCACCAAAGCACAATGTTTTGCCTTTCACAGCCTTTTCGTTGTGCACACTGCCACTACTCGTGCAACATTTCAGGTTCTCTGAAAAGACACTATAACAAAAAACATCCCAACGCTCAGTATATCAATGCTGGATCAGGAGTGTCCACTTCCGAAACTGTGACAGAGCAAGGCAAGTCCTTCCTCACCAGAATGAAACCAGCCTTAACTGCCTAACATATACATTGCTTATTGTTAGACATACAGAGTTGCCTCAAACAGCATCAGTAATTGAAAAGTGTGTGTGTGTTATCAGGTGGAGTCAAATGTCCTGTTTGCAATTACGTTTATGGCACTAAATGGGAAATGAACAGACACCTAAAGAGCAAACATGGTCTCAAAGTGGTGGAGACTGACAGTCTTGTTCTGAATCAGTGGGAGGTGAGTAATATTATAATAAAGTCAAGTCATGTTTATTTATAAAATGCATAAACAACAATAGAAGTTGACCCAAAGTGCTGTACATTAATATTTAATAATAAATAATATATTGATAGTAAACATACTTCACCCAAAAATGAAAAATCTGTCATCATTTACTACCCTCATGTCATTCCAAACCCATAAGACTTTAGTTAAATTAAGACATTTTTTTAGAAAAAACTGCAAGGTTTTTGTCTCCCCCTTGAAAGTCCAGGAAACAAAAACTTAAAACATCCAAAAATTTCATACATTAAATTCAATCTGTTCATAATTTTAAAGGAGTCCTATTATGCTCTTTTACAAAGTCTTGATTTTGTTTTGGGGGTGTACTAGAACAGGCTCTCATACTAGGTTGTTCGAAAAACACATTATTTTTCACATATTTTACATTATTACAACACCTCTCTCCCCAGTCTGGCATGAACGGCTCGGATAGTTCCTGTACAGTGTTGCCAGATTGGAAATGTCCAAGTATCGTACCAGAAGCTCAAAATTATCGTATTTGGAAGAAAATTATTGTACACGAGTAAAAACGTACAGAATACAACTATTTACTAGACTAGAACAACAACTTTTTGACACAACCTTCAAATTACCACAACAAATAAATAACTATGCTAGGGCCCTATGAAATAGGTTTATTTTTTCCCAAATTCCATTTTTTAATTTTTTATTCCAAATAAAAAAATTTGGGGATTCTTGTTTTTTTCCATTTTAATTTTTCTGGACTCCTTTTTAAATGGTTAAATTAAATTTTATTTATCAAAAGCATGTCTAATTAAATAATGAAACGTATACAATTCAACATCAAATCCATTAAAAAGTTTAACAAAAATTACATGTTTAGGGTCTTATGAAATGTTCTATTTTTTCACCTTGTTTATTGTTACCAAATTCTGTGTTTTAATATGTCTAATTATTTGAATGCATAAAAACTACTTTTATTTATAGCCTTATGAAATTCTGCATTGCGTATTTAAATTTTTCTGGTTATCGAATGAAGGCATAACACATTAATTTCATTTATCTTTTAATTAATGAAAATTAAACTAATTTTATTTTTTGGCAAACAAAGGGGATTTACAATTAAAATTAAAACATGGAAGAAATATTGTGATTATTCCTTAATAATTTTAGTAGTAGTAGTTGTACGTACATTCTACTGAACAATAGTAATACATTTCTGGCAGAAACTATATATTTTTGACTCTCAGAGCAGTTCTGGGGATGTTGTTCATGTATTTATGTCCTATT